TCGTCGGCATTGGTCACCGCCAGGGTAATCGCCGTCGCGATCAATGAGAACGACTTCATACTAGTGAAAATACTGTCAATGATAACTGTCCGGCGACGCGAATGGAGTCCGACGTTCGAGTTTTTCAATTGCTCGACGGACGGCAAATGCGGGAATGGAGGACGACATGAAAGCCGCTTCCTACGCAGAGAGCAGGCAGAGAGTTGCCTGTCTGAAGAGAGAGGAGGGGATCATAAGGCCGCTGGATCGTCTTGGGCTGCCGGCTGGACAGGCTGCGCCCAGCTGGTGCCGCGGACCGAAATGTGCCTGTCAATACTTCCAGACGGCGCGGCGCTCCGTACCGAAACGGCTGAACATGCGGCGGTGCTGGTCAAGTTGCGGTACATGTCTTCGGTGGATGACGACTCGGAGCTTGTCGAGCGTGAAGTTCAGGGAAGAATCCTTGGAAAACGGTCAACACTGATACACGAACAGGCTTGTCGATGGGGCTACGGTGGTCCCAACGCAAAGGTTAACCCATGCAGAGCCGAATCCACGCGCTATCACGACTGTCCATGTGGTGGCTCATTTCTTGGGGCACAGAGGACAAAGCGAGGGGCATTCGTTGATGGATCTTCGGGTAAAGAGCTGCACTTCTCTCTTCGGGGCACTCTTTGTCTTGGATGGACAGATGGATAAGACACGCCAGGTGGACGGCTAGGAGTAGCCACAAGGTCACCCCATCAAGTTGGCATAGTGTCCTCCATCTGCTGGCACTGACAGGCACGTCAATTGTCGACAGGAAGATCGCCACATCCAATCCTTTGGCCATCGAGTGGCTTGCAGGACGAACAGCTCAATGCATCGACACTTTTTAGACTGTGAAGGTGTGGTAAACACTTGACATGTTAATGACATTACCGGTACGACTGGTTGGGCCATGCAATAAGCATGCCGGTTCTACTTGTAGAGCTACTAGACACGAATGGTTCTACCTGTACGATGCAGGTGATTGCTTACATAGGGCAGTTGGCAGTTCCGGTGCTGCTAGGGGTATCCGTAGGCTCGATATTGCCGCTCGACGATTCCTGTTCGGGGGTCTCGACCTCGCCGTCCTCATTGCTAGTCTGCTCGGGGGTCTCGGAGTTGGCATCCGCACCAACATCGCTTGATGTTTGTTGGACAGTCTGGTCCTCGTCAGTGGGGCCGGACTGTGCGTCCACCATATCGAGATCGCCGGTAACCGGGCCTGAGGTATTGTCGACAGTCGAGCTTTCGCTATCGACAGAGTCGGGATCCTGCTGTGTAACTTGAGACTCATCGTTCTGGGCCGTGGAGCCTTTGCTATCCACAGAGTCGGGATCCTGCTGGGTAACTTGAGACTCATCGTTCTGGGCCGTGGAACCCGACTGCTGAATCGGTGTGGAGTTGTCGGTATCATCCTGGATCGGGTTGCCGTTGTTGGACGAGCTTGGACTCTGCTCATAGGGGTGGTTTGAGCTGCCGCAGTCCATGTAGGTAGACGCCGAGGAAGAGGTTTCCGTCTCGCCTTGCTGAGGGACGTCCGTCGACGGGGCGGGGGGAAGCGTTGGCTCGGATGTCGAGTATTCGATCTTGCCGTCTTCGCTTGCCGCAGTCGATTGCTGCTGCTCAGGTGACTGGTTCTCGTCGTCTTCAGGCGTGGAGCCTGACTGTTGCGAAGCCGATGACGACGGCGCTGAAGGCACGACCGTAGCAGGAACATCGGGCGATTCAGTTGTGGTCGGAGCCTGGGTTTCCACGTCGTTGCTCTCCGAGCTAGGGCCCTGCTCAATACTCTGCTCCGGGCTCTCTTCGTCTCCAGAGTTCGAGGCCTGCTGGGATGATTGCTTCACATCGTCGTTTCCACTGGAAGAACCAGTGTCCTGTTGAGTCTGTGAGCCATCTTCACCTGAACCTGACGGCGTGGTAGATGTAGGAGCCGTAGTTGCAGGGGCATCCGTCGTCGGCGTCGAGGTGGTCGGGACAGGGGCAGGTGTCGTGGGCGTCGGTGCTTTGGTGGCAGTTGGGGCCTTTGTTGGAGCCTTGGTCGGTACCGCCGTCGGGGCCATCGTCGGGGTGGCCGTGGTAGGCTTCGGTGCAGTGGTGGGGGTCGACGTGTTGGTCGAAGGTTTTGACGGTTTGCCACCCGACGGGAACTGGTGGGTTCCCTTCGTGCATGAACCTGCACTCAACGACACCTTGTCCGTGATAGACACACCGTTGATGTCTGTTAGCGACACCGAAACGCTCGACAGGTCGGTCTGGGACGTGCCCGCGCCATCAAGCAGATAATAGTAAGCACCATCGAGCATCTTCGTGTCCTGACCATTGATCTTCAGACTCTTGACACCGGTAGCACAGTTGGTCGGCTGAATGGCCGTCCAGTAGTTGTTGCTGCCGCCCTTGAGGCAGTAGTTGACATTACCAGCCACCGGACAGTCCACGAACTTCCACTTGATAGTGTACCGGGACGGATGGGATCCGGTAAGCGTCTTGAAGACGGACGGCGACAGATCGAGGTCACCATGTTTGCATTCGGGACAACGGTCGAGAATCTGCACCACGACAGACTTCGTCTGGTCAGCGCAGCGTTTGTCGGCGCACGACACCTCAGCGCAGCGGCCGCAGTTCTGTAGACCACTCCACTGCTCGTTGTTCAAAGCGGCGTAGTCGGTGGTGGCGAAGTTGAGAGCCGACATCATGTTGCAGTTTCCGGAGCTGGTGTCGCCGAGCGTGTAGGCGGTACCATCTCCAGTGAAGTACTCGTCGGCATTGGCGAAAGCGAATGTGGTCGCTGTGGCGAGGAGACCAAAGGATAAGGTTGACTTCATCGCTGCCAGGTTGTCGAGATGTGGTTGATAGAAGGCAAAACCTCGAATGAACTTGCAAGCACTCTGTCAAGTGCTGCCCAACCTATTTGGCCAAGGGCTTGTCCACCGCCAGTGCGTTGTGACCCGCTGGGGATTGAGAATGGTAGCGTCGCTGCGTTGCGATTGTCGATGTTGCCTTTCAACAAGTCTCTGCTCTGCTTTGACATCAAGGTACAGAGTTTACAGAGTCGGCGGCAAACGGGAGTTTATTGATGGACGGTCTGTTCTGTGTAAGCAGCAGGAAAG